CATTCGCAAAAAGTGGGTGCTGCTACAAATGATGCGTGCTGCTGGAAATCATTACTGGTAATGGAAACAATAGCTGGCTGCTGGAAATGCTGCATTAGCCTGTCATATAATCAATAAATCTCTATTCAAACATAATTCACCATAAACTACCCATTTTACAAGGTAAAAGTCATTGCTTCTTCACATAAATCAAAATTTGATGCTTTATCTAATGTCTATGAAAATTTCTAAATAGGGAGAAGACGTAAAATTAACATGTGTCCAAATTTCATGCAAGAATGAAACCAAGCAAATTTTCATTTCAATTATCAATGGACATAGTCAGAGCTCATCGGTGGACATGAACAAAAAAATAATAATAATAAAACTGCATCTAGAAAACTTCACCTGATCATTAGTCTTCATAATAACCGGGCTTCGTATAATAGAAACCTAAATCATTGAGTTGGTCCGTGCATCCTGTAAAATTCGTCAAATAATGGGTCACTAAGATCTATTGGAGTTGATTCGTCATTGTTCGACGGTGATGTCCTGCATAAACATCAAACAGAAGCACATAAGAACTTTACCTATTCAAATTTTAGGTCTTATTATAAATAGTGTTAACATCTTACGGTGTGTTCAAATTTCTTGGGCATTGTCTTCTATCATGACCAATGTGTCCACACTCCCGACAGTGTCTAATCCCTCGCTTCATTGCCTTTTCCTTTGCTCCCGTTACTCGTTTCGACCCTCCATTGCACCTTACTCTCTTAGGGTCTTTCATATATTGTGTTTGAGAGCTGGACCCTCCAACTTCGTTATTACTTGGTCCATCCTTCAACAACTTCAACTTCACCTGCAAACTTTTTAGAGTCTCTGACAGTAGCTCACATCCTTCTTCACACATTAATGCATCCTCAACCACATCTGAAGCAAGTCGGGACATTGTACTCCGCTTTATTAAAAGACCAGGATCTGCAAAGTCTTTAATTTCGTTGCCATTTGCATCTGACACCAATCCAAATTTCGCAGTTTTCTTCCACCTCTTCAAAATGTATTTATCGGGCATATATTCAATCTGGTCCCTTCTGAACAATGCTAGGATGTGCTTGCAAATAATTCCAACAAATTCAAATCTTTTGCAGCTACACGATGCGTGGTCAGAATCTTTGACATATACGACTTCTGCCACTCTTGTTTCCCAATTTTTCCTTTCGCTCACATTAAAGACAACTTTAGAAGCATCCTCTGTTTTCAGCTCTAGGAAACATGCTGTACTTTGTATTAGTTCTTGCTCAACCTTTTGAAACATTGTCCTTGTGTACAAGGTAGCCATTTGTTTGTTCATTGGCATCGGTAGAATACATTGAGCCACTTCAAATGCATCTACGTGATCAGCAACTAACTCTTTTTGACGTTGATGAGAAAGTGCCCTCTCAAATCTTATTATGAAATCCATCAACGAATTTCTCCTTGATATGTATTGCTTGAAGAAACCATGAGAACATTCAGCTCTTTGGCTGCTTGACATTCCAGCGGCAAAAAAGTGTCGTGCGTAGGCTGGAACCCAAGATTCCCTTAAATCAAACATTGAACTTAGCCATGGATGGTCAGTCAAACCAACCTTTGTAACCACAATATTCCATTTTGCATCAAACTCATCCTTATTGTCAGTATCCCATATGGCTTTCTGGAATTCACCCCAATACTCCTTATAAGCAGAATGTGGTAACTTAACAGAGAACTTTGATGTGATGTGCCATATGCAAAGTCGATGAAATGTAGTTGGGAAGGCTATTGAAATCGCTCTGCTCATTGCCGCATCTTGATCTGTGATGATCGTTTTAGGTTCGCCACCTGGCATGGCTTTCTTAAACTCCTCAAACATCCAAATAAACGACTCAGTCGTTTCCTTGCTCAAAAATGCGCATGCTAGGACAATTGTTTGACCATGGTTATTAACTCCCAACATTGGTGCAAATGTCAAGTCGTATCTATTCGTGTTGAATGTGGTATCAAATACAACAACATCTCCATAAAACCCGTACGCCCGTCTAGAAGTTGCATCTGCCCAAAAACATCGACTAAACCTGTTATCGCCATCTCCCTCAATCTTGAAATAAAAAGCCTCATTTTTTTCTGTTCAGCCATAAAATACTCGGTCACTAGTTCAACATCGTGGTCCCTCAGCTTCCCATTCACACTACATTCAAGATTGTACATATCCTTTTTGATAAAACCGATTTTATCCATTCCTCCGGATTGCACCTCGAAAATACTTACCTTCTGATTAATGGGAATATTAACCGAACCCAACTGTTTTGTAAGTACTTTTGTAGAATCTGAAATACAACGGTGTGATCTCAGTAAATGCATTCTTCCTGAGGGTGTCATCTTATGATTGTGTCCCTCTGCAAAAAGAGAGATGGTATACTTCTTGCTCCCATGTGTCTTCACAACCACAATCTTAGCTTTGCAATTGCATCTACTTATTCCCCGCTGTCTTTTTCTCTCCCGAGTTTCATCATTCCGGTATGCACCTTGTTTGCAACATACAAATTCTTTTCTCAGAATCTCTTTCTTATTTTTCCCCCAAAAGCTGGAATGAAGTCGAATACCAAAGCCAGCCAAGAATGCATATCTATTATAGAAATTATAAACGAGGTCAAGCGAGTTGAACTTCATCCCAACTGCTGGTGTTTCCTCATTTCTTACTTCAGGAATGTAAACCCTCCCATTAGCTGTTACAGAGTCATCACTCTCTGAGCCCCCAGACATTTTATCCACGTATATTATTGATCTACTTCTATATTACTGCATAGAAAATGTTAATTCATTAATCAATCATTACTGCATCACAACTTATCAATGCATTCCACTTACACAAAACATTGCCCAAATTGACACAATCTACGCATAGCCTAGCTTGTTGGATTCTGATTACACAAAACACAAGCAAAATTTAATAATAGTTACGTCATCTCTTGTGAAATAATCTGGAAAAAATAACATTAGAACCAACATGTTCAACTAAGAACTCAAATGTAATTCAAACCAGCAATTACAGAACTTCACCCAATATCCTCTCCAAATGCTTACTTCTAATGCCATTAAGCCTAAGTTTAGGATCTTTTACCTACATTTCATAATTTTCCAATCCCCCTCCAAACAAAAATAATCAACTAAGTATATTAAATATTCATAAGGAAATGACGCATTATTGATAGCAGAGCAAATGACGCATTATTGATGCCACAAATGACAAATTTCTCACCCTCACAAAAAACAAATCAAACCCAGCAAAATCAATCCAGCAAGAGTGAACTTACCTCTCAAAGTCAAATGACGCATTATTGATAGCAGAGCAAATGACGCATTATTGATGCCACAAATGACAAATTTATCACCCTCACAAAAAACAAATCAAACCCAACAAAATCAATCCAGCAAGAGTGAACTTACCTCTCAAAGTCAATCGGGAGCTCCGAACTCAGTCAGCTTCAAAGAATGTGGTGGACATTAGAGAGGATTCTTTCGTAGTGGAGACTCCATCTCTACCAAAATCCAGGAACAACTGCAGCAGCACGAAAAAGAGATATGCTACTTTGCTTTCATCTGGAATCTCTTCTGCTGAACGAAAAAGAGAAGGGGTTTTCACTTCAATCATAGAATCAAAACAGGGCAATAGCTAGGTAAAAGCCATTAATCATCATACCGAGGATACCATAGATCGCAGGCCTCCCAAGGAGCTGATGACAATGGAGCGATTATAGAGTTTGGGAGCTTTGGATCTTTCTAATTGTGGATTTGCATTACATTAAAAAAGAGAGGATTGTGTTCTTGAGTTTTTCACAGAGAGGGAAAAATCTTCAGCTGAAGTTGGGTTTCCAAACGGGTCATATTTCAACCCGGTTCTACATGCACCCTCTTTTAAAAACTCACCGTCGGATGAAATCCAACGGCTCTTACATACCCCTCAAAAAAACCCCTTATAACTTTCCACTCACTATAGAAGCACTCTTTTAAATCAATTTCTAGTGATCAAGAAAGACCAAAATCAAAGAGAGGAATTCAATCAAACCTACTTTCGTAAAATCATCAATCGTTCAACAAAATATAGCTATTTCTCCCAATAGACAAAATAAAACTTATGTGGTGCGAAAAGGGTTCTGGGTGGTTTTTTTCCCCTAATGTTATGGTACTTTTTTAATATATAATTTTTTAACTATTGTAGCTTCAAAAATAATTAATTAATTAAAAATTAACTCTTTAATATTTTATTTGAATTTTTAAAGTTTTAAATGCTAAAATTACAAGAGTGGTGATTTTCCCACTCCAATTTTATCCACTTACACTTCATTTTATAACTAAAAAAGGAGTGTAAGTAGATAAAATTGGAGTGGGGAAATCATTACTCTTACTAAAATTCTCATGCCACGTCGATATAAGATACCAAAATAAAAAAGCACGAAGCAATAATGTCGAACAGAATAACGAAGAAATAAAAAAGAAATTGTTAAACAAAAATTTGAGTTTGGGCCAACCATTTGGGTCATATGCATTGGAGCAAAAATGAAAAATTGTAGCACAAGATCTTGAGCATAGCCTTTGCAAGCGCCGGCTAATAGTAGAATTTCCCTCTACTCCTCCTTCACTTCCCCTTGCTTAACCTAAGGGTGGTGGTATCTTTACGAGAGATTGGAAAAGCGATTTCTATAACCAGATAGAACTTTGAAATAGCTTTGTTCACTTTATAACTGGGTTCAGGCAAGGCTACACCCTGACAAACAAAGCACAGTCCACTTACACAACAGTAAAACATGCTGCGGCGTTTCAGTTTGACTTTTGCACAAGGGAACAGTGTAGAGGCAGTGAACAGCCGTCTGTATACAAACTTTATCGCATGCACTGTTAGGTAGGATTTGCACTCCTTTTTCTTACTTAAGTTTGGTCAAAGAACTGATAATAAATCATGGGCAACATTTAACACAAACAGAGAGAAGATCAAATGACATACTCTAGTCTGAGTATGAACTGTCTTGCTCTTCAGATTCAAGTTCTCTCATATTGTTAGTTGCCAGTTCAACTTTCAATGATAACCTGTGAGTATGTTCCTCGATATATTTCAATACAATCTGTAGCTTCTCTTGATAAGCTGCAGACTTCTTTTTCTCTCGATGTAGCTCCGTGGACAGTTCCCGGATTTTCAAGTCCTTCTCATCCTGAAAACATAGAACTAATATCAGACACTGTTGTAATTTAAGCTCATATAGGAACTTGTAAATATACACTTATTAGGCAGGATGACACATGATTTCAACAAGCAGCTGCACAAAACTATGATTATTGAGGCATTAGCTCATAAATTTATTGGTACTAAAACCTATCTAGCAAATGTCTACTTGATTTGACCTTAGAATCATAGCCACCAAACCTCTTGCCCAACCAGAATTGCTTTTGGCCAAAAGGACTTGCGTACCTATGGAAGAGCATATGTATTACCAGGTAACGGTTTACATCAAAGATGGAAATTTTCAATTCTTCAGAATTTTCATTTTCTTAAATAAAAATAGAACACAGTTGAAGTGTAGTATTATCGTTGCTATGAATTTAAATTTTTATATTTTTTTTAAACTGTCAGACCAATAAGAAAATAAATCCCCAATTACAAGTCACATTCTGCTCATCATCTCTTACATATCAGAATAATATAAGTTCATACAGCCAAACTGGATTGTCATTTTGTTTTTTTAAACCAATTCAAGGATTAATTATTCAAACCTAGTTCTTAGTTCCAATTCATATAACTCCAGTCTCATGCTAACTCCTTTTTTGTTTTGTTTTTTTTGAATAGAAACATTTTTATTCAAATTTGAAAGGATCAAAAGCGGCATTTAGAACACAGATAAAAAGAAAAAACACTAGCCGGTGAAACAGACACAAGGCCACTCAACACAGAACTAAACAACAAAACATAAAACAACCCCTTAAGATACTTCAAAAGAATCTTGCAAATAAGATTAAAATTCTATTATAAGCACATTTACATACCAAAACGAAGACCAACATACCTCACAAAATGCAATCCTATGCGATCGTCGAGGTGGTATTTTGTTAGGATTCAACTCATGATTATGTTCTTTTACAAAACCATATATAACCCACTTGCCTCCATCCTTTGCCGTTATCCTCAACATTGCATTGCATCCCTTTCTGGTGGCTGGCCGTGATGGAAGAACTCTGTTTTGACTCGTTGCATATTTTTCTGCTCGGAAACCTTCTTTTGAGCAAACAAACTCCCGGCCAATTATTGTGTTATCTTTTAGTGAACGACGTGTACGATTGTTCCGTATTGTAAATCCCATATGCCTACCATACATCTCATAAAAATCTCTAGCATCTTCTGCTGATTCAAATTCCATCCCAATAACCGGTTCCAAAGTTAAAGAAAAATCTTGGCTAGATGTTTCAATCAAATTATTATCTACATCAGGAGTATATGATAGCTCGTCATCAGCTGTTTCATGACTGGAAAAAGTTTCATCTAGCCAACACCTGTAGTTTCTCTCAGGGCTAAATCCTTGTCCTGAGGTGCTTGCCATCATTAACCTGCAAAAATGAGATATAGAATAAATAAGAGCATAGGATCAAAGCCCAAGGGACAAGCAATGGTAGCAAGTTAGCAACTAAAATTCTATCATACCTGAAGTATCCAATTTATTCCAGAAATAAAGTCAAAATATGCAAGTAATAGTGCGGATTGTCAGCAGTAAGACCTAAGCTTATGATTAGGCAAGACAAGGACTTTTTGACCCCCATCACATAGAGAGTCTGGAATTTGTCTTTGACTGTGCCCATGATATTGAACTTGACGGCTACATAACACCAAAAGCGTCCACCCATGATAAAATGAGAAGGCTACAATGCAATTTTGTTAAAGAACTCATCACCACCTGTAAAGTTCACTGGTTTTGCTATCTTTTCGCTCTATATGGCTCACACATACACTCTGTTCAAACATAAATGAGAACCAATCTCTAAAGCAATTCATAGGCACATCACTTGGGAGTTGCCCTCTCAGATACAATACCTCAGTATAAAAATAAATAATAAACAATAACACTTGAATACATATCCACAGATCCTCGGATCTTGACAGAAGGGTAGCTAGAGTAATTGGGGAAAAATCATTTATAGCTACTGGGTTCCCCTGATCCACTCAAGAATGAAAAAGGGTAGATGCAAAGAGCTGCATCAGAAGATCCAGCAGAGGCTTGCTTGCCTCATGGGAGAGTAAAATCTTGTCTTTGCCAAGACAATCTGTATCTACTGCTATCCCCATATGTGTACAACGCAGAATGTGAAGCTGACTGCCTGAATCAGTTACCTAAGTCATTCTACCACCAGGACTAACCCACTCAACTAGGAGTTAAATTTGTCAAAGGGGAGTAGCAAATTCACAGTACTCATTGACTCATTAGATCAATAAAGAATCCACATAACATAATTCAAACTTCAAGGTTCAACCTATATAATATAACATGAATCTGAAAGCAACAAAATTTGTTAAGAATCTAAGACATTGCTAAACTGTGCAAGATTCTTAGCAGCCTAAAATGAACCCCTCTACAAATTTTCCAAATTGGTCTTCAACTGTTCATAAACACAAGAACGACAACAATAAATATACAGAGAGAGAGAGAGAGAGAGAGAGAGAGAGAGAGTAGGATACCTGGCAAGTACTAGAAATTGAAAACCCAAAATGATTTTAGCGTTCTTTTGGGTTCTACAGTCTGAGATTTTGGTGAACTGATCAGCAAAGGAGGTTTTGTTATCAATGGAACTTGGAAGCTACGGTTCGGTCTTCCCCTGTAAAAAGCGTTTTTTGGGTCAATTTAAATAGCGTTTTGTCTGTGTAAGCACTCTAGAAAATAATACAAGTTTCTGTTGCAAAAAATAGAAAAAACAAAACAAAATTGATTCGAAGTCAATGATCTTTGACCTAATAGTCCCACCCCAAAAAAAAAGGAAAATTAGGTATTAGACATTATTAAGTTTACTAATTAGTAAGTGAGATATTAGGTATTTTAGTTTGGGTTTTAATACTTAAAAAAAAATAGCTATTTTAGATTAGGCCAAAGGCTGGCCCAGATTCGTTGGGCCAGCTTAAAAATAACAAATAAAAAGACAATTCTACCCTTTTCTCTTAAAAAGCCTGGCCCATCTGTAAACCTACAAATTAAATGACGCTTTTGCCTCTGAACTTTTAAACGACGCGCGAGTTTCTTTTCTTTTTCGTTCGTTTTCTTCTTCGTTTCAGAGCTGGGTTCTGCCATTGGAGCTCAATTTTCTGGTAGGTTTTGCTTTTATTTTCTTCGTTTTTCTGTCTTCTTTTTTCTGCTACGTTTTCGTTCGATTTGCATGCTGAATGACTGTCAGTTTTGGGTGATTTCTGTTCTCCTTAGTTCGGGTATTTCGAGCTCAGTTTTGTGGCTCGATTTTGCGGCGCGATCTTGTGGCGTTCAATGCTAAACCCTATATTCTTCGTTTCGTGATCAGATTTGATTTTAAGCTGCTGTTTGGTTGTGGAGATTTTTGGCAGTCCTAAGTTTTGAGGTATGAGTACTTTAGAACCTGTTTTCGTTTATATCGACTTGTATGTTTATGGAATTTAGTTTTAGTACTTTTATCGTGGTTTCCTTTTGGTTTCTATTCGAATTGTTTTGATTTTTCTGTCATAAACTACATCTGTTTGTTGTAGTTTTGGTAGAAACTGCATTGCAGTTTCTTGTTTCATAATTCGATTTCAGACTAATATTTGGAAGTCTATTGGAATTTTACAACTGCTCATGTACATTATTTACTTATTTAAATTGTTTTCTGTTTTTGTTTGTTGTTTTGTTTGCATTTTCAAGGCTAATGGAGGTGTGTGTCATTGCCAAGTGCACATATAAGTCGGAAACCATTATGTTTTCAGTTTCATCAGAGTCATCCATGGTTGATATTTTGAAGACTTTGTGTCTAAGGTTTAAGGGTTTGCAGTTGGGTTGTTTTACGTTACGGTATTCGCTGCCCAGTTATCCGAGTTGTTTTCTAGAAACGGATAGCGATTTGGACATGATGAGGACATTTTTGTTTGTATCAAATGAGAAGAGTGTTGATATTTTAGTGAAGGATTTATGCGGAAGCAGTGAATATAGTGGTGATTTTTGTGTAAATAAGGAGTTGATTGCATGTGAAAAGGGCGAGTCGTCGTGTTCTAGTACTGTCGAAGACAGAAATGAATTTTTGGGCAGGTCGAAGAGAGCAAGTGCTAAGCCTTTGTTGTCGAATGAGTGGGAGACGTACATACATCATGTAGGGCAGAAGTTTGACGGTGGTGCAGAGGAGTTCCGTTTGAAATTGTGCAAGTACGCTCTTGAAGTAGGATTTAATTTTTTATATGCCGGCAATGACAAGAAGCGGGTGGTTGCTATTTGTTCGAATAAGAAATTGGAGGGTTGTAGCTGGCGTGTTTATGCTTCTCGTTGTGAAGCTACTGGCTGTTTTGTAATTCGGACATTAAATAATGTGCATACATGTGTGGGTCGGATACGGGAATCAAAGAGTAAGATGATGAAGTCTCGTGTGGTGTCCTCCCTCATTGTGGACAGAATTCGTGCAAAACCAGAGCTGAAGCCAGTTGAGATTATACACGAGTTCAAAGATTATTATGGTATAGACATTTCATACTACCATGCATGGTTTGGCAAAGAGTTAGCTAAATTGAACGTTCACGGTGATGAGTCGAAGTCCTTCAACGAGTTAGTGTGGTATGCGGACGCCGTAAAGGAAACTAACCCTGGTTCTCTCTGCACTCTTGAATGTGAAGCTGGAATTAATCGCTTTAGACGGTTTTTTGTGTCATTTGGCGGTTGCATTGCTGGATTTCAATATTGCATACCCTTGTTGTTCGTTGATGCTACGTTTTTGAAGAGCAAGTACAAGGGGCAGCTTCTCTGTGCTTCCGGAAAGAATGGAAATCAAGGTATGATTACTGTAATGTATTGCAGATTCCATTTGTTGCAATTTTTAGCAGAAACTGCATTGCAGTTTCTTGTTTCATAATTCGATTTTCTTAATAATTTTTGTATGTCTGTGGGAATGTTGCAACTGCTCATGAACTTAAATGTGTTTTAAACTTAGTTTTAGTACTTGGATCATGGATTTGCCTTTTGGTTTCCTTTCAAATTTGAGCAGATTTGTTTTCAAAAACTGCACTGCAATTTCCCTTTTTTGCTTATACTTGTGCTTTTGGTTTTGTTTTGCAGGGTTTTATCCTCTAGCTTTTGGAGTTGTTGATTTTGAGACGGAGGAGAATTGGACTTGGTTTCTTCAACATTTGGCTTCTATTTTGCTACCGATGGGGAGAGTGGTGACCTTTTTCTCGGATTGCAATCAAGGTTTGTTAAATGCAATGGGGTTTGTGTTTCCTGGATGGCCTCATTCTTACTGTTACTATCACCTCAAACAGAATTTGATATCGAAGTACCCGAAGTCAGGTTATGGGAAATTGCTCCAAGACCGTGTTATCAATTTATTTAGTAGGTGCGCATATGTTGTTACAGAGGAAGAGTTTACGGTAGCAATGGAGGAGTTGGTGATTGTTGGGAGTTCGAAAGTGAAGACATTTATATCTGATTTGTCTAGAGATCACTATGCGAACGCATATTTCAAAGGAATGCGGTATGGGGAGATGGCAAATAGTTTAGCGGAGTCATTTAATAATTGGGTTGGTGTGTTTCGAGATTTGCCGGTGCTACCTTTGATAGAAGGGATTCGACAGAAATTGATGGTATTGAATTCTCAACGACTAATTGAAGCGGAGAAGTGGACAACAATTTTGTGTCCGGAGATGGAAACTAGACTGTGGGAAAATGCGGAGGCCGGTAGGACTTGGGTAGTTCGTCGTTCTAGTTTCACTGTTTTTGAAGTATTTGCTGATTATTCTGTGATGGTTGATCTTGAGCAAAGAACTTGTTCTTGCCGTCTTTGGCAAATTGACGGTTTTCCTTGCACGCATGCGGTAGCTGCAATTCTAGCAAAGAAAGATTCAATTTATGATTACTTGGAGTGTTACTATAGGACTGACTTCTTTCGAAAAGCCTATGAGAGTCCTATTTTTCCTATTCCAGATATTGGGAAAGGCTTGGGCAGCAACAGTTTTGCAGCTGGAGTTGTGCTTCCGCCAATTACAAAGAGGCCAGCCGGAAGACCACCAACAAAGAGGATCAAAGCTTTTGGTGAATTTAAAAGGCCATTGAAATGCAGTCGGTGTAGTGTTACTGGGCATAATAGGAAGACTTGCAAGGCTGTGATATGAACATTCCTTCTCAGTTGACGATTGCTTACGTTAGATATGGTTTAGTGAATGTATAGTCAGTTTCTGCATTGCACTTTTTGCAAAACCTGCATTGCAGTTTTAGTTGCTTTTAATTGGCTACACAGCTTCTAATTGGATATTATGATTCTTTTTTGAAGTTAATGAAAATTATACAATTGTTTCATGAGTGGATATTCGTTTTTGACTGCCATTGAATGCTTGTTTCAGATTTGAGCAAATTTTGTTGCAGAAACTGCACTGCAGTTTCTGTTTATTTGTTGCAGATTTTGAACAGAACTTGTCCCATAATTCAATTTCAGAATACTTTTTGCTAGTCTATGGGAATGTTATAACTGCTCATGGAGTTAAATGTGTTTTGATATTAGTTTTAGTACTTTGATTATGCCTTTACCTTTTGAGCAGCAGTGCAGATTTTGACCAGAAACTGCAGCGCAGTTTCTTGTTCGAGACCAGAAACTGCAGCGCAGTTTCTTGTTCGATAATTCAATTTCAGAATAATTTTTGCAAGTATATTGGAATGTTACAACTGCTGACCTACTTAAATGTGTTTTGATATTAGTTTTAGTACTTTGATTATGCCTTTACCTTTTGAGCAGCAGTGCAGATTTTGACCAGAAACTGTAGTGCAGTTTCTTGTTCGAGACCAGAAACTGCAGTGCAGTTTCTTGTTCGATAATTCAATTTCAGAATAATTTTTGCAAGTATATTGGAATGTTACAACTGCTGACCTAATTAAATGTGTTTTGAGCAAAGTACTTTGATTATGGCTTTGGCTCTTGGGTTCTTTTCACATTTTTTGAGCAGATTATTTATTTATTTATATAAACTGCACTGCAGTTTTAATTTGTTGCAGTATTTGACTAGAAAATTCAGTGCAGTTTGTTGTTTCCCTTTCTTTTTGTTGCATCCTGTTCCAAGATTATATTACAGTTTATATGTATAGGAAATATGTTCTCATATACCATAACTAGAAATATTTACAAACATCCACAAGAATTAAGATACATATTGTCTTGAGTTAACGAAAGGCAAATCACTAGAGACGATTAATTACACAGTGTTTGTGGTGTAGGAGTTTTGTGACATATTGTGCTCGATATTCATTCATGAATTTCTTGTCCACACTTTTTGGAATGGGCTGTCCTTGTGCTATTTTATCCATGTAGAACATGACGAACATGCCGCAATCCAACCTGCAAATGAATACGAGATTAGCTTTTGGTTTTGAATGATTTCAAATTGTAATGAATGGTTGAGTAGACACAATTCTTACGAAGATGAATTTTGTTGAGCACATTCTGTGTCATCCTCAAATGGAAACTGATATGGATTTTGCAGAATCCAATTTAGAGTGAGTTCTTCATTTGGGGACAAATCAACCTGTGCAGGTGTATGGGGCCCTTCTTTTTGCTTCACAAGTTTTGGTATTTTTTTAGTTTCTAAGAACTCTTGTGCTTGTGGTCTGATATATTCTAGCCACCCTTCCACAATATTAACCTGTTTAAAGAAGAAGAAAAAAAGAGAAAAAGAAATGGTAATCAATGCATTGCATATTATAGTTTTGGTCCGAAATTAAGCAGTACATATAATACAGAAACTGCATTGCAGTTTCTGTTTGTGTTTGTGCTGAGAAATTAAGACAGTTTCATTCCACTTACAAAATTTTGAGCAATGTCAATACACTTTTCTTCTTTTCTAGATCCCAACGATCTAAGTGGATTGTAGTGTCTCCACTTTCGTTCAATTTTGTGAAATGTGAGAAGTGTAAAGTGGAACTCAAAACTTGAAATGATCGGGAAGAAGAGAACATTGCATTTCCCGAGTTTTTCAAGTAAGTGTTCATACAGGGCCCTATGCCAATTTGGTTCTAGGAAGGTTTGCATGTAAGCCTGATATCATTGAATGGCAATTTGTTAGTATATATTTTTCGAAAACTGCAGTGCCGTGTCTGTTTAAACAACTTTGAATTTTCAAAATAATTCTTACCCAAGTCCATGTAGACATGTACTGTGGACTATCTGTCTGCATAGGCCCTATTTTCTCCTCCTCTATTTGGATATAGGCCTCAATAACGGGTAATATAGGTAGCACAAATAAAAAATGCAGTGCAGTGTGTGTTATAGAATTAGTATTTTATACTTACGTTTTGTGACAGTTCCAGGTCCCATACAATATCTTTGATATCATGGTTTGTCACTTTCTCACTATCGAGTCCTGCCCAAAAGTTATCACTGCGGATTCAAAAACATGAAATTCACAAGATTAGTTTTAGTTTAATTGTAATTACAAGATGAAAGAGTTGTTCTTTTGGAATAGAGATATTACCTAGGTTGAGTACTTAAGTAGTATTCTTGAATTCTGTCCCTGTCCTCCTTTGGAATTTTCTGCCAAACCTTCTTTTGACCCCCATCCTAGTTTTTTCTTTGTTGGCTTTTTTTGTCCTTCATCTTCATCATTTGATTCTTGCATACCTACAGGTATTGAATCATGAAGGCTCGTTCCTTTTGGGGGATCAAGAATTGGATTTGTGGCATCGGGCTGAGATGCCTCCTGTGTTAACTGCAGATTGAAAGGAAACTAATTAGAAACTCCATTTGATAAAACATAAACTGCAATGCAGTTTCCGTTTCTGTAAAGCAGCAGAAACTGCAATGCAGTTTCCGTTTCTGTAAAGCAGCAGAAAACATAAAAGCAGCAGCTTGAACTGCAGTAATTGCATGATTTTGAGGATCCTCTTGTGTTGATTGCTCCTCGGAAGAGATAATCTTGAATTATGGTAGTTCTTCATCATCCTTTTTTGCCTTCTTTTTTGGTTTCTTATTTTTTTCGTACACATAGCAAGATGCTTGAAGCCTCTTTCTTTCTCTATTCTTCAGCCTTAGTACTCTTGAAGGAACATCAGGTGTTGGAGCGTCTTGCTTCTTCTCTTCTTCTTTCTCTTCTTGTTGCTTCTCTTCTTCTTTCTTGTCTTCTTTCTCTTCTTCTTCTTCTTCTTGCTCTTCAACTGGTTGTGTTGGTTGTGTTGTAGGCAGATCGATCTCCATTTGAAAGACTGTTGGGTCTGACAACAAGCTTTGAATTTCTACCTTGTACTTTTCTTCAATCTCCTTTTTCTTGGCAATCTTCTCCATGTCAATACAAGTTTTCTTGCCTTCCAATTCTGCAATCCTCCTTTTTAGATTTCATATTTCCTGAAGCTGAACTATAGATTCCACTGTCATGGTGGCAGTCACATATTCTTCATTATCTAATTTCTCTACGTATGTTGCCAACTTCGCTTCCAGCTCCTTTGATCTCTTTTCTCCTTGGATAAATATATCCCACAATTCCTTCATTTTCTTCTCACTGTCTTCAATTTTTTAATCCTTCCACAGTTGTAATCTTTCTGGGCAAATGAAGCTAGGATCTTGACGTTGGTGATAGTTGATTTGGTCTGTCATGGACTTCACCAAGAGGTCTTGAATTGCAAGAGGTTCATTTCCAGCTCATTCTCAAACATTTTCTTCTTTCCATCCTCTTTTAATTCTGGAGTTTGATCAGCATTATCAGGTTTTCCTTGGTCTTCTGCTTCCTCTGCTTCTCTTTGTTGTCCTTCATCTTCTTTTTCTTTTTTCTGCATATTGAACGGAAACTAATTAGAAACTGCACTGCATTGGAGGAAATGGAAACTGGAATGCATAATTCTCTGTTTAGAGATTCTTATACCTTGTCAAGAGGGTCTCCCTCTTCTCTGGTAGTTTTTCTCTTTTTATATGCTTTCAAAATACCATGTACAATGAGATTGAATGATTCAAAAACTGCATTGGATAAAATACAAACTGCAATGCAGTTTGTGGTTCACTGCAATGCAAAAAATAGAATATACCAGAAAATATACATCAACTTGACATGAAATTGAAAGATCAGCATAGTCAAAACAAGAACTACAAAACATAACAGAAACTACAGAACAACATGGCGTGAAATGAGCAACATTCAAGAAGCACAGAAACTGCAATGCAGTTTATGGTTCACTGCAATGCAGTTGTCTTTCACTAAAATGCAAAAAACAGAATATACCAGAAAATATGCATCAACTTGACATGAAATTGAAAGATCAGCATAGTCAAAACAAGAACTACAAAACATAACAGAAACTACAGAACAACATGGCGTGAAATGAGCAACATTCAAGAAGCACAGAAACTGCAATGCAGTTTGTGGTTCACTGCAATGCAGTTTGTGGTTCACTGCATTGGATAAAATACAAACTGCAATGTAGAAAACACAAACTGCAATGCACTGTATACATATTTTAATTACCTTGTCAACAGTGTCTTCCTCTTCCCTGGTAGTTTTTCGCTTTTTAGGAGTTTTGAAAATACCCTGTACAATGAGAATGATTTAGCATGAATTCACATTCAAGATACATTAAAGTAGAACAACATGCGATAAATTGCATACCTCAATGTCATTCAAGTCCTTTATTTGGTTGAATCTTGTGTGGAGTTCCACAAGACTCCATTTAAGAATGGCAGGAGTTTCTTTCTCCTTGCCCAGGATTGGTTGTATTATGTTTGTCCTCTCACACAGTAGAAATTGCACAGTTCAAAAACAAGATATATCATAAATCAGATTGGAAATTGCTTAGGATAAAACAGAAACTGCATTGCACTAAAGGGAAACTGCATTGCCTAAAACTCAAAATGCATTGCATAAGCCATACCAATATTAGGATAATGCAACCCGAAACAGCTCCTATAGAGCCTTCTCCTCCCTTCTTTGCTTTTGCTTTTGCTTTTGCTTTTGCGACCAAGGATTCATTCATGTAGGCTGAAACAGCACTTGCCCAAGAATAGCTTGAAAGTGTGTCCAGATTCACACAGTGCTCAAATACTTTCCAATGCAAAGTAGATGAAGCGTTGGCAAAAAGGAATGTCATGCATAGGTGAATCAATATTATGCTGACCACCTCCTTGTCGTAGTCAACTTCTTCTTCTTCTTCTTCAGCTTCTTTCTTTTGCTCTGCCTTGGCCTTTTCTTTCTTCGGTTGGTTTGCCAATGAAATTGTCTTCAGTAATTCTGCTTCTACCAGATTTTTTGATGGTTTTCCCTTTTCTCCAAAGTGCCTTATTCTGAATGTAGAAGTGTACCTATCATTGACAAGTTTGACAGATTTTCCTTCATTTGGCAGTCCTAGAATCTGAATCACTACATTGCCTGTGATCTTGAATGCTTCGGTGCCAAATTTGAAGGACTTTGTATCCGGATCAAACTTCTTGAGCAGCTGAACTAAGTCAAGGTCTGACTTATTCATGTTATTCATGTCAATCCTCTGGTTGTAAAACACCTCAATCAAGTTCCAGAATGGGGTGTTCTTGAGAAGCTTCTTCTGCCTTTCATTCAGCTTGTCTTTTACGTCTATAATGATGTTGTTGAAAGCGTTGACATTGCACCGAAATTGGACATAGTCTGGGTGCTTTGCTTTCCGATCATAGTTTGGCTTTGGCTTTGGCTTTGATTTACTCTTTTGAGCCATCATTTTGAATCTTCGCTTTGGTTGGTTTTGAGCTTCCTCCTTTTGTGGTGACATTTCTTGTGCCATTTGTGATCTGCAACAAGAAGGGATGAAAATATTATTAGGACAAGTAGAGATAAACTACAAGCAAACAGAAACTGCAATGCAGTTTGTGGTTCACTGCAATGCAGTTTGTCTTTCACTAAAATGCAAAAAACAGAATATACCAGAAAATATGCATCAACTTGACATGAAATTGAAAGATCAGCATAGCCAAAACAAGAACTACAAAACATAACAGAAACTACAGAACAACATGGCGTGAAATGCACAGAAACTGCAATGCAGTTTGTGGTTCACTGCAATGCAAAAAACAGAATATACCAGAAAATATACATCAACTTGACATGAAATTGAAAGATCAGCATAGTCAAAACAAGAACTACAAAACATAACAGAAACTACATAACAACATGACGTGAAATGGAAAGAAGTATAAATAATTTAGCAGAAACTACAATGCAGTTTCTGTTTTCTTCAGTGCAGAAAACAGTTTTGATGCTCTTTTGTGATTTTTCCGGTTTTTAGAGGTTTTCAAACCAAAACTAAACCCAAAACCTAAACTACATTGCAGAATGGCAGTAAGTAAAATTTCAGAACCCTAAAATCAAAGGCAAATTTGTGTTAGGGGTCATTTTCTTACGATTTTTTCCCCAAGAGAGTGCTAAACCCTTCAATCGTCGTCGTTGTTGGTCGTCGCTCGTCGCTCGTCGCTCGTCGCCGTTTCAGATTTTGGGGGAATAGGTTGGAACTGCTGAAAGAGAGAATGAAGAATTGGCTTCAATCGTTGGTGGTCTTCGATGATGGTCGCACGAATGGGTTGGTGGTCTTCGATGATCGTTGGTGGTCTTCGATGATCGTTGGTGGTCTGGAGGTTTCTGGAGGTGAAGTTGAAGAGGTTTCTGGAGGTGAAGTTGAAACGTCGCGCGAATGAGTTGTGATTCAATTTTGGTTTCGGTTGATGTCGTTTTGGTTCAGTTTTGGTTTGATGTTGTTTTTCAGTTTTTGTTTAAAACTAAATACTGAAAATGGCATATGTGGTAATTTTCATATTTTGTAATGGTATTTTTGTTACATTTTGGTTTTTTGCCTTTTGCTAATTAGACTAAATTGTATTTCTTTCTACTAAATTAGTAAACTATATTATGCTTTAAAACTAAAGCTCCCAAAAAAAAATCTCAAATCTCAAATTCCAAAACGGGCAAATGATGAAAACATCCTCAAGAAGAAAGGGACTCTAATCATGTTCTTAACATTTTCAAAGTGACAAAAATGAATTAGGAATTAGGACACATAGGTCCTTTTTGTTTTTATATGAAAAGAACACTTACAATGAAAAGGCACTTAAACATGATGTGCTAAAGAGGTCAAAATAAAACGTGTTTACAACAGAAATGGTTAAGCCGTTCTCCCATAAACGGGAAGGAGAGAGGCTATGTTCCAATTTAGCTAAGGCACTAGCCATGAAGTTTGTCAATTCATAAGTTAGTAGTGGCACCCTTTTCATTTGTTTGCATCGCATGTAGGAGTATCCTCTAGTTAGAGGCACGTCTGAGAAGAAAAACTCTTTGGTGCTCTCTAGCTTTCAATAAAACAGCTTTGCTTTCAACGCTTTCCATCTCTTATGTTTCAATTTCCTTCTGCGTTTCAAGCTCCGAGAAACATTAGTACTCTTTTAAGTAAGCTTTCTTATCTTTTATTTTATGTTTATTCAAGCAAACATCTAGTCCAAACTCTGGAAAAAAAAACTATCACAGTTATACTATTATCTTTCTAAACTACGGATCATACTTTCTTTGAATACTTTGTTATAGTGAAATGCTTGATATGTTTGGAAATTGTTCACCCGTTTTGATTTAGTCCTGTGATTATAGGGTAAAGTTCTATATTGGCTTGAGAACCATTTGTGGTCAACAAGTCAACTTACTTTGATGTGTGAGCGTGCCACTGTTAGCAATTAAAAACCCTAATAGACTTATGAAAAATAGATAACTTGCACTCCAAGTTATTGACTCTGAACAAGTGATTGTGAATTTGGGTGAGGAATATCTCCCAAGTAAGTTCTTTTCTTGCCTCAAACTGGTGAGGACTTCATAATTTCTCACAATAAACTAATAGTTTTGGCCAAAATGAATATTGAGAATAAGTCAAATTGTTTTAAGGGAAACTACCTATTACACAACTTAAAACAACATGGAACTGCCATGTCTAAAAGGACAACGAAACATTGGGTTTTGATTTTTGCTTGGGTTGTTGCCTGTGACTCATGCTGGATTGGATGTATCTATGCTAGATTCAAACATCAGCACCTTCAACTGATGAGGTTCAGCTGGAAATCGATACCAATGTTGAGATTGGCAAAGCTTCAATCTATTTGAGCCATGGAGAGGCTTGTTGGATGGGCAGAATTGAGATCTCTTCAGTCTGGACAAGGCTGAAAGTGGCTGGATTGATGATTGCTGGCCTGGAGTTGCACTGTAGTACCTATTCTGCTTGATTATGAATCATCCAAGAGCTATTCTGGCAATTTTGAGAGATCAAGGCATCTCTGTAAATTTGTTGAGGTTTTCATATTATGAAAAACCCGAGTTCTACTGCTTGATTTGACTTATGCTGAACCAAATTTGTAACGAGAGGAATCTCGTTTCCTTTGTGAATTGCTTCCCTGAACTAAACTGGAGTCAGAAGTTTGAATTATGCTTGTTTTGTTTAGGAGCTGTATGAATTTTCAAACCAACTGGTTTGATTGCTTTAGAGTCTGAAGGCTTTTCAGATCGAATGATCTTGTTTTGAATTTGTCAGTATGACTTGAGAGTTTTTGTTTTGATTGAATTTTTTGGCTATCCCTAACCTTGTTCACCTCCTTTCATATTTATAGAGAATCTGAATGAGGGTTTAATCTTTAATATCTGGAGGGTAGATCTTTTGAAAGGTTTTTTATTTTTCTTTTTCTAATGTAAAGAAGAAGGAGTTATTATTCTGAAAAAAAAAAAAAAAAAAAAAAAAACAACAACAAACAACCATCAACAGTCAGTTTCTATGATGGTCCATTTGCTTTTCCGACAAACAACTTCCCTGTCTCATGTTTATCTCTTGAAAACACAACTTGTCTTGATGCAGAGCCCTTTATGAGTCTAGAAAGGAAACTTGGCCCTCTTTTTCTGGCATAAAATGGTTTATGGGGAGTGATTTTCATATTAGACTTTCTACTAGCTCCCCATCACTTCCTCTGCCCAGTTGAAAATTTTGACTTCAGAGTCACGTGTGCTTTTTGAGAGAAAGATCTTCCCAAGAACAAAATCTGCTGACTTGAACTTTGGAATTGAGATTAACGGTGATGATGAAATTTTTGATATTTTGGAGAGATTAGAAGCTGGGCTTAATCTTTAAACCAATTAAAAAATGATTGTCCAGATTAAATCACCATTTAATGGTAATTAATCTTTAATCTGTAAATTTATTCCTCGGAATTGGTTCACAAAGGCCTGATTTCTGGCTTTAACAAACAAAGCCCAAACTCCTGTTTTTGACATGGGCCTGTTTGGGCCTAAAAAGAATTCCACACACAACAGCCCACTTCTCACAAAGAAGCCCAGGAACAGGAAAACAAAAGACTGGGCCTTGACTCCAAAAGAAAAGCTCAATCCACATTAGAGGCCCATGTCTTTTACGAAATGGCAAAATTGACCACTAAGCAGATCGTTAAAATTCTAAAGAAAAAATTGGATTGGGCCCGGCTTCTAAATTCTCACCATTACTCTCAAAAAGCCCAAAAACAAGTCATCAGATTCTTCCTGGAAAGTCTATTCTCAAAGAAAAACCCACATGACTTCTTGACTTTGAAAAAGTCAAAATTCTCAACTAAAACAGAGGAAGTGATAGGGAGTTAATGAAATCTGGTCTTACAAAACTTCTCCATTTTTTCTTCGCCAGGAAAAAGAAGATCAAATCCCCTCTCTATATGCACAAAAGCTCTGCACTAAAGCAGGTTATATTTCCAAGAGATAAGCAGGTTACAATTTTAAGAGATAAGTAGGGAGCAAATGAGTTGTTCAACAGAAAAAGCAAACTGACCATAAATGGCAAAATTTGTTTTTCTATTTTTGCAATGAACAAAACAGAGAACAAAGAGAGTTGGTTTTCTTTCAGAAAAGCAAGGAAAAGACCTCCATAAAAGTTAAATGTTGATGGCCCTTCTTTGCCAAAATCATAGCTTCCTTCTTTTACGACATTAAAAAATGAAACATCTTACTTTTGGAAAATCTGCCGCCCATTATTAAAAGATTAGAAATCCCCCTCCAGCATTTTTCTATAAATATGAGAGGAGGTGAACAGATCAAAAACAACCAAAAACTCAAAATGATCACTTGATCTCAAAAGCCTTCAAAACACTTAAGCAACCAAAAACTCATTGAGCCACAAGAAACAAGCCAGCTATAATCCAGAATCTCTAACTTCAATTCAGTTTCAGAGAAATAGTCATTCAAAGCGCGATTCTCTCGTTACAAATTTGGTCCATCATAAGCCAAATCAAGTAGAGTTCGGGTTTTACAAATATTACCTCAACAAATTTATGGAGAGCCCTGATCAAGCAGAACAGGTACTACAGTGCAGTTCCAGCTCAGTAATCATCAAATCCAACGACTTCTGCCCCTTCCAGACTGAAGAGGTTCCAATTCTACCCATTCAAAAAGCCTTCTAGGGATTGAAATAGATTAAAGCTCTGCCAAACTCAAACATTGGTATCGATTTATAGCTGAAACTTGGCGGTTGAAGGTGTTGATAGTCCAGTCTAGCACAGATATACCCAGTCTAGCCCGGATCAGAAGCATCTATCCATGCAAAAATTGAAGTCCAAGAGCTCTTTTTGTCTTTTTAGAGTTGGTCTTCCTTTTTGAGCTTTGTAAAAGGCAGTTCTGTTTGAAACAACTCACTTTCTTATCATTTATTCTAGCCAGAACTACCAGTTTTGTACTGTGAAAAATTGTGAAGTCCTCATCAATCTGATACTAAACCACAAATGCCCTCGAAACTAAACCACAAAAACCTAAAAAAGCAAAACATGGAAACCTGTAATCTATGTTTTCATTTGATTTCAAACATAAAAACTCCCCTCTATTAGTATCTGTTGTCTCTGTCATTGGTCTTGAAACTTTGGTAGTATCTATTGTCATCAGCATGCTATCACCATTGGAGGCACAATGCTTTGTCAGCCATATATAGACTTCAAAGTTGCTAATTAGATTCCAATATGAACTTTAACATTGTGGAGATGAATCAATAACTCTATGAGTGCCTTGTTAAACATATAATACAAATATATGGCTTATTAGAAATAATTATGTAATTAGATAATAGAGATGAAGGAAATCATAGAACACAAGCTTTGCTTCAACTCCATGTTGGATGGATGCAGTACTCGTAGTACACTAGAACTCAATGACACTAATAAATAATAATGGAGGAACTAGCTAGGAATCAAGTCATATTCATGGTTCAACTCCTCCAATGATATAACATGGGATCAAACCTTTGTTTTTATGTTTAGAATCAAATTGAAAACTGAGATTGCATATAAAACCTGACAGAGCCCCAACTATAATTTGTTATCCGACCCTAGTTTATCATTTTAATAATATTTCACTTATCAAAAAAATAAAATTTCACTTATTTGCTAGCTAGTTGCTATTATTTTATATCTTTATTGGAAATGCGCGGGATGGAAATTTTATATAGCTTTCCATTTCTTTTTATTTTTCTTTAGCTAATTAAGCTTGAGGGGGCCTAATTATCCAACTTTATGTCATGCTCAGGTATACCTTGACCTAGCTTCTAGACTGAGAACCAGTGGCGTATTCACATATGGGCAAGGGGGTTCGATTGACCCCTGCAAACCCAAAATCCACCATAGGAGTTCAAGAACTTGACCCTTGCAAATTGCCTAGAAGGTGTTTGATGAAATGCCCCAAAGAGAAAGCAGACATAGCCCACAGCCAGAGCAGAGAACCTTGCTGCGCACGCCCACAGTGCTCAACACCCAGCGCTCTTTTTTTTCATTTTTTTTCTTGACGTCGAAACGACGTCGTTCCGCCTAAGGTTTATTTTTTTATTTTTTTATTTTTTCAAACATAGCCAAAACGTTGGCTCAAGTGTTTTTTCAAAAATAAATAAATAAATATCTTCTGCTGCCTGATAAAACAGAGGGGGGAATGGGATTTTAACAAAATTCTCTCAATCAAACAAAGGGGGGAATGTATATAGAAAGTTATGGAACGATACAAATGTAAATAAGGAAGTACCCTCCCCCCAAATTTGGATTCAAATAAAAATACTAGAAAATCAAATTCTCACCAAATCAAAATAAGAAAAATCGGTTTTAGTACAAAATACGATTTAGGCTAAAAATGATGGCTCATTAAGTCAATATATACGTTATACTAAAATCCCATAAAATCAAGTTTTCTTATTTGATGCGTAAGGAATAAAATTATCTTGAGAAAATGATTATTCCGAAAACCATTTTTCATACTTGGCCAATACTTAGCCTTGCTTGTAGGACTTGCACCAGCTCTACATAGTTTGCTCTAGCAATTTCAGAGCCGAATATGCCCGTTATAACATGTTCGATAGAAAGCCAGAAAACATGAGTGTGTAGCTCAAGGTGGAAAGCAGGAAAACACGGACCAAAAAACACGAAGCGGAAAACACAGAGCGGGAATGACTGAGGTGAAAAGGAAACAAGGGGAGAAAAAAAATGATGTTGCTCTTTTTTTGGTACTTAATAATGATGTTGTTTATTTTTTTTTTAATTTTTTTTTAAAGTTAATGTAGTCCCTTGTTTGCTCATTTTTTTTTTAAAAAAAAATGTGAAACAAATATTTTTCTCAATTTTTTTTTTAAATTTTAGTTGTAACGACACAAATCAATGTGCTAATCACCCAACCATAAATACTCCTAGGTGTATGAAAATGTTCAGAAAGATTGTTTTGAGTCTTGTTTTAGTTTTAGCTTTGCTCGAGGACTAGGAAAAGATTGACCACTAGAATGAAAATTCCTAGATCCACCCCTGCTAAGAACTATAAAATTGGAGAATTTGAGGCAAAAAATGATGATGAAAGATTTGCACAGCTTGGTATTGGAAAGCAGTTGTGTACTCTAGACACCAACTTTTTCTCACTCTCCCACATGACGCGGAACTCATCAAATTATGAGACTCCCTAACTTTTATCTTATATCATGACATCATGACATGCAGTTTAATTGAGTTGTTGCGATTAAAGGTTGGATGTCTAATTAAGGTCCAATATTGAAATAATTTCATAAGTTTTCCTTCACTTTGTCCTTGTCGATTAATAGGAAGGAAGCTTAATGAAATGAATCAGAATTAAAATCTCAGATTCACACTAGAACTGCGTAGGACCCATGTCCGGCCGAGTGAGTTGGGATAAAAGTTGGTGTGTGTATACGAATTTTCCACAGTATATTTATTCAAAAAGAACCTTTTCCAGTCCAGACTAGTAATACTCTAGATTGAAAAAAAAGCCAATCTACTCATAAAATAGACATGCCATGATTTAAGTCATGCCATTCAAATCGTAGAACATTAAGCTCCAGTTTACTTTCTACAATAAACCATGCGGCTTTTCAAGTCAATACATTGTTCAACCAATTTCAACAAAACTCCTCATTTTCTCCTAATTAATTAGGAAAAACATGAAATTTAATTCTTTGATCCTGGTATTTAAAGAATTTCATAATACGAGCGTCCTTTGTCATACTCATGGCTCAATCATCAGCTCACCTCACAACCCCTACTTTGTCATGTCCCCATCACAATCTTATATGTTTACTTTCAATGCTTTGTAAAAGAGCATTCAGAAGCATCCTAATTTTCCTACTTTTCTCAATCCAGATTTTCCGATTCGAGAAACAAAATTGAAGCCATAACTAGAACTGAAAGCAACTGAATGACTTACTACACTCACACAACTTCTGAAAAGTATCTATCATGTAAAACCTACTGTTTTAGCTTCAAGCACTTTTAGATTGTCAAAGACTGATTGAAGTTTTATTGATAGGTGATTGTTATGGTCTTCAACATCCTTCATAAAGGCAAGTAGCTGTTCTCTATATGCTGCACTTAACCGCTTCTTCACTCGCAGTTGTGCGGTTAACTCCTGAATTTTCTTATCCTTCTCATCCTGGTAATATAGATGCAAAAACAATGATAAATGATCTCTGTGGAAGGGAAAAAAAAGTGCATACAGTGTAAAAGAAAACAAAACCAAGAAAGAAAAAAAGATCCAACAGATTTAGAAAATCCCAAATGCAAGAGAACAATAAGTTGGACAATTCAAATTACAAACTTTCACCAAGCATAAGGCTTGGACTTTCTAAAAGGAAAGAAACTATAAATATGAAGATAGTACAAAAGCTCAGTTGAATAGTTTGAAAGGGCAGCAAGAGACCAGTGTGGTAAATTAGAGTATAAAGGCCATAAACAGATGCCAAAACTTGGGAATACAGTAAGCAATGTTCAAAAGGGAAAAATACATGGATTTAGAAATAATATATTAAGGTGTTGAATTACCAAGCTAAGCTCGTGAGTAAAACACAACTTGGATGTTTCCGATGTAGTCAAGATGTCATCAGAAGATACCTGGATCACTCTGTAATTTTCCTTTTCAACTTTTAAAAGTATGTTCTTAATGTTAATTTGGAAATGGAAGGAGTCAAATTACAGTAAAAAAGCTATAAATAAATAAAAACTGATTAATCCAATAGTCTAGCTCAGCTGGCATCATTGAGTATAGGGAGATAGCTTCATAGGGAGAAAGAAAGAAATATGGTAGCTTTCAACTGTGACTTGGATTTTGTTCTTCATTTCATTGAATATAAGTTGCAAGCATTATTTATGTACTCACATTGAATATCAAACATAAACTACAAAACATGCCAAAGTCTGCAACTTAGGAGGCACTACTGCTTTCCAAATATATAAATAAGGATTAAAAACAGACCTCCCTACAACATTGCAGCAGTTCCTAAAATATGATTTGGTTAAAAATTTAAAAGTTCCCAGATGTATCCAACAGCCATAGTCTATCATCCTCTTCACTGCTATGTAATCTCAACCCTTCCAGTACTTGTAACGTGTCTACTAACTTCCTACCTTCCTCATCCTTAGGTTTCTTCTAAAACCAAAGTCCGAACTTAAAGGAAAATTCTTATCCAAAACCACCCTTGTGCTAATGGGCAACGTATAGGCCACGGGTCTTGATCATGACCCAGCCTAGGTCCAATCTGATTTTTTTTCTCTTTATTTGATTTTTGGCTTTTAAGTTTTAAATGCTGTAGGTTCAATTAAGATCTATTAAGTTAACTTTGGTTTATTTATATAAGTTAGTTAGTCATAGTCAATTAAGTTTAAATTTTCCTCGATTGTCTTGTGATGCAGGTGACTAAGTCCGTTTATGTTGGGAAAAGAAAAATATAAAGAAAATTTTCAGTCATTTTCAAAGAATTTGGATCATTCTATTTCTCATAGTATAATATTAATGGCAGTGGTCATAAAAGGATATGAAAACACTAGATTATCAGTAACTGGATGCATCCAACTACATGAGAACATATGCAACATAAGAGAGGCTTACAAGCGTTCGGCGACTCTTTTGTGATTGAACCACTAACGGATGATTATGGTCCTTCAAAAACTTCTTGACAACCCAACTTCCAGGCTTCTCTTGCCTCAACAACACCATGGCTGTGCAAAATTCTCGTTGTCCACACTCCTTCTGCATTACTTTTCTACCATTATCAGAGACCCCTCTACATCCAAGTCCACGAGAGATTATTGACCCATCACGCTCAGACTTCCGGGATGACAGAACACGGGTCAAAAATCCTACGCGACTGGCATAATCATCATAGAATACTCTGGCAGCATCTTCTGATTCAAATAGCATACCCTCATATGGTTCTTGATTTGGGCTAACTTCAACAATATTTGTTTCCCCTCCTTCAGAAGTGTATATTGTCCCATTCTGATCATCCATTTGCACCTCCACTATAGGACAACATATATCAAGTTATAAGATACACTAACGCACACCTGTCAACCATGTCATCGAGCAGACCCTTTAGTATTGCATATTCATACAATAACTTGAGATTTGCAAGGAAATTAAATGAGCAAATCATAAAGACCATCCAATAAAGGAAAAACATAATATATATATATATATATTATATTGAAATTATCATTGCATGTTTGGAATGTGGTAATGTAAGATTAACACAAAAAGCCTTTACAAATGGCCAAGCCCTGATATAGAAATTAAAGTGAATTATCAAAGATAGGCAAGTGCAAAGATATGCGGTCAACTCAGAAAAGCCTTGATGAAAGATATTTATGGGAAGAGAAAAGGAATGAAATTTGGATCACATAAGTTACCATGTTCTAAAGTGTACGAAACCTCAATCAGACATGGTAGAACAAATGTACAAGATGCAGTTAACGTGATGTAAATGTTTCATTCGACACACAAAAAACAAAGAAAGAAAAAAAAATCTTGCAAAGTTCAGGTATATCTCAAGCAGTTCTCAAGCTTATGCCAAACTTTGAAAATAAAAGCAACCAAAGCATTCAAGAGCTTCGTCTGTTGCTTCTAGTTTGCTCATAGATGAATGTGCAAACAACTTGTTTTTGTATTTAAGATATATTTTTGAGAAACTTCGAAATAAATAAGTAAAAAACCCAATTGCATATTTGATTTGTCTTTTCTGATCCTTAATTAATACATGAAAATGTAACCAAACACAGCCATTCTCAATCTTTTCCCGCCTTCTTGATTTCCTTTCCAATTACTCTCTTATTCCTCAAATTTCTTAGCAGTTAGAAACGAACGCAGCATTCAAAATTTACTATCATCAATTATATTGATAGACAAAAATAATAAAACAGGTGGACCGGAAAGTATTGCCACCAAAGGATCATTACAACCCATTAAAATAAAGTTGTAATATCAGAGATACACAAATAAATAAATAAAACAACAAGACAATAGGAATTTCAATAAGCAAGAAAAAAAATAAGGTCAATAAATCAATGGCGAAAGCCCAAAAAGAAAAAGCAAGAAAGGTTATAGCATTCAGTGTAACAGAAGAATGGAAAGAGGGGTTGGATTGGACTTACTGGAATTCAAGAGGACTTTCAGTGAGGTGGTAGAAAGATAGAATCAGGGAGAAAGAGAACTCAGGTTATGAAAGAGGAGCGACTCGTTCTGTGTCTGGGAGAAGTTTTCACACTGTTTAAAGTGTTTGATGTAAGAAGAACCGCACACGTGGTAAATCATAGGAACCTATTCAAGAATACAAAAACAAAAAAAAGGAGTTTCACTAAAACATCCAAAATGAGGGCTTAAATTATAAAAAAACTCAAGCACTATTTAAACATATAAACACACCCAAAACCCATTATTACACACACTCAAAATCCATTTATAAACACACCCAAAAAGTTGACTTTGGGGTTGATTTTGGGTGTGTTTCTATGTTTAAATAGTGCTTGGGTTTTTCTATAAATACATGTCTAGGATTGGGTTTATTTATAAATTTGTAAAAAAAATACGAAACAACAACGTTCTAAAATTTATTAAGGAACAAAACAATAATATTTATTTTCGTTTTTTAGGGTAAATTATCAAAATTCCTTAACGTAAGTCCGGATAATAAACGTGTCAAGAATACTCAATCCAAAATCGACTCATTTAATAAACATGTCGTGTTAAACAAGTTATTAAACAGGTTATCTCGTTAATGCATGTTTAACAAATTATCAAGATTGCTTCATTTGATTCTTATCATAATTTGACCAAAAATAGAATTCTTATCATAATCAAATAAGAATGTTTTCTAAAGCCTTGCAATAAATTGACTTCAATTGCCTCTAGTTTTTATTCTCCCATATGTATGGTATAACTTTTTTTGGGTCAAAATGTGGTAGCATCTAGTAATTAGCTAAAAATGTAATGGGTAAAAATTAAAAACAAATAATAATAATAATAATAATAATAATAATAATAATAATAATAATAATAATAATAACTCGCATGGGACATACAAGAATCACTTGCATTCTTGAGTATTGGGCAATAAGTAAACAATTACAAAAAATACAAAAAATCAACAAAGACCCACATATCAAATTAAGGTCATAAAAAACGAATTAAAAACATAAATTTTGATCATTTAAACAAATAACTGCATTTAGCAATTTATTTATATATAAAAATAGTGATTACATTTTGCCTCTTTGTATGTATGAAGATTGAGAAAGATAAATAAAAGAAATTTTAAAAAATGAGAAAAATGAACAAAAATGATGAAAAAGAAAAAGAAACAAAGAAGTGGGTTAGTAGGTTGGTTGGTATTACATGGGTTGACATGACTCGTTTAATAAACGGGTTATATAGGTATTTTAGTGGGTTGGCTGGTTGATCCGAAACCTACCCATTTATTAAACGGATCATGGCGGGTTGACCCAAAAAAGCCCGAAAATTGAATCATATGGGTTTCAAGTCGTGTAGCAGCTTAGGCTGATCTTGCCTTTGGGCCTGCCCAATCTTAGTAGAGCCCACGTCCTGCCTGGGCTAGAATGCGTTGTTGGAGTTTAAAAAGGTAAAGAAATAAGGAAGATAAGGGGTTGAGCCACTAGTGCTACAGTTGCCTTGAAGTATGCTGTTTGAAGGCCATAGATCTTTTCCTTTGTGGCCAGACTATAATGAGGGGTAAGTTATAAGGGGTAAGTTATAAGGGGTTCACTTTATAGTCATTGGATCAATCGAAGGGCTGGGGAGAATTGGGATAAAGTTGTGCAATCGGGTAGGTGAGGAACCCAAACCCGAATTTAATATCCAGCAATGAAGTTGGTCCCAACAAAAAAAAAGAGAGGCAAGTTCGAAGTTTGAACAGAAAAAACCCATTGATCTCAAACTCATAGCTGAGAGAAACTGCTAAGCTCTGAGAAACGGTTGAAGGCAACGGGCAACGACGGTTGAAGGCAACGGGCAACGACGGTTGAAGGCAAAGGTTAACGACGGTTGAACGCAACTCCACTATCTAAACCGTGAAAAAGTATTTATTTTGAGTGGAAGGAGCAAAGGCGTGGATTCTGAAACAGTGAAGACGAAGCAGTGGAAGGGGAAGGAGAGAAGCCGTATTCGTTGGAAGTGATAGGTTCCATTTGTGGAGCAAAGCCACACAAAGACCCAACACAGACACCTTGCGATTGTTCAATAACCAGCATTTGGTGAGTAATTTATGGAATTTGAGTTTAGGGTTAGAGTAACCGTTTTCCCCCAATTTGTAGCATGAATGTTGTTAGATTTGGCATCTCTTCTTTGTGCTTCACTTGCATGTTAATTTTTGCTTGGGTATATGTTAAAAAACGAATGAATATAAAGTCAATAACATGTCAATAACATGTCAATAATGATATGAATAAGGTAATGGTGTTGAATTGGAGGAGGCCCTCAAAACCTTCCACATTTGAAGCAGTGCAGAGTGCAGATTATCTCTCTGGAGCTAGAATATATATAATTTTTGAAATAAATATTATTTCCGTTGTTACTAAATTTGCCTGTTAAAAATGAGAACAGATAATAATAAACTCATGAATAAAAGTGCAAAGCATTTGAAAAAAGGTTGATCTATGACGATTATGGCTGACTGAAGAAAAAGCTAGAAAGAAAGAAGGATGTGGCAATGGCTTAGCGAGCAGATAGCAGAGCAGATGCTTTGCTTTGCTTCCTTCCACCATCTTTCTCATTTATTTATTTATTTATTTTGTGTTGTGTATGAAATGACAATAATTGTCATGTGTGTGAAGTGCAGAACTTGCCTAGATTGCACTCACACTCACTCATGCATCAACCATTGATTGGAGTTTGGATCCATAAATAAAACACATGCTAGTGCTTGTAATTCACAGAATCATTGCATTAACAGGTATTTGCACAAAATATGTCATATTGCTTTGATGATGTTAAAGCCTGTGATCAGTAATCCCTATGCGCATGTACTTTGTAAAATTTGTAATGTGCTGGTTGACTAGTTGTGTAAATACCAATGTGATTGTGCAAATACGTGGTAGTATATGTGTTCACGTTATTTCATCTTGTATTTCAGGAAATGGGATCCAACGTTGAGCTGGTATGGCCAGAGTCAGAGGCATATTCCTCACGGGTGAACAACTGCTCACATGCAAATTCATCCCTAGCTGTAATTCGAGCGAAGTTGAGTGCCGAACAATTAGAACAATTCAAGACATCATGCTTTGGCCATCTTCTGAATATAGATAAGATTCAGTTTAGCGGGCAGATTGTGCATGGGGTTGTGTTGCGTAGAGTAGCGGGGCAGGGTGTGAAAGACTTGGATGGACTGAGTTTCTTAATAGGGTGCGACGTTGCTCAGTTCCCTCGTCAGGATTTCTGTTTGATCTCAGGGCTTCGTTTTGGGGAAGTGCCTGAAGTTTCCAGTGGAGAAAGTGATGAAATTAGACTTCAGAAAAGATATTTTATAGACGAAGGAATTACATGTAATGCTTTAGAAGAAGCATTTGTGAGGTGCACAGAGGAAGATGACGTCTACAAGCTAGCTCTTGTTTACTTTGCTGAGTTAGTGGTTTTGGGAAGGGACAAACATTTGAACATCAATCTAAATTACCTGACCCTTGTAGAGGACTTGGATGCGTTCAACAGGTTTCCATGGGGTTCGGTGTCGTTTGACAAAACCCAAGACAGTCTGTTTTCTGCACCAACAAAGTATGTGAAAAGCTTTGAAAATGAAGAGGGAAGAGGGAAGGGGAAATGTAAGGTAACCGGAACAAGCCGGAGAAATGAGAAGGGCAAGAAGGATAACCATGGTGAAGTGCAAAGGGGTGGCTGGAGTTTTAAAGGTTTCACGTATGCTTTCCAGGTACATGGTAATAATGTTCATGTCGTTATGTTCTGTTGACTTTAAAACTTAAATAATAACTTGTGTCCTGTGAATTGTG